AATATGTGGCCCTCCCGGCCTGCTCTAATGAGTACGAGCAGCTTATTCTAAAGTATCCACAAGACAATGACAACCACGTCTCACCTTCAGAATAATGCGCGCAGTACATTTGGCCAACCATAATTCTGAAGAAAAAGCAAATTCACCATAATTAACCTGGGCAGGAAAAAAAAGGATCATTGACTACTGTGCTGACTGCCAGTGGCCACTTGTGTCCATGCATAGGCACACATCAACCGAACCTACACTATGTGGCCAAACGTTTATGGTCAACTGACCATCACATCTTCACTGTATAATCTAAAGTATGGCGACACCCCTTCAAATTCTTGAGTTCAGGTCTTTCCAGTGAAGGTTCTGCTAATACTCTATCATACAAAGACATTGTAGACAATTTTTATCTTCCAGCCTTGTGGTCACAGTTTGGTGCAGACCCTTTTCTGTTCCATCATGACTGTCCCCTGTGTACAAAGCCAGCTCCATAAAGACATGTTGTGACTGGTTTGGTGTGGAGGAACTCAAGTGTCCTGCACATAGTTTTGACCTCAACCCTACTGAACACCTTTGGGATGAATTAGAACACCACCTATGAGTCAGGTCTTCTCATCCAACATTAGTACCTGACTTCAACCCTACTGACCAGTTTGGTGTGGAGGAACATGAGTGTCCTGCACAGAGCCTTGACCCCAACCCTACTGTACACTAGACGTGTGCGATTCGTGTCGTTCCGAATCGAAATTCGGACGAATTTTCGTAAATTCGTAGATTCGTATCATCTGAATCTCCGAAATTCGAATTTCCGAATCCAAAACGAAACCTCCGAATCCGAACTTTACGGATCCGAACTTTCGGATTGGAATTTCGGATTTTGACCCTTAATTTCGGATTCGTATCAATTATCAGCCGATTACGATTAGAAAAAAAATCCGAAAAGAATCCGATCCGAATACGAACGTGCGGTCGAACGAACGGAAATAAACGCACTTAACCATGTGACTACTTTCTAACCAATCACATGTATTTTTCAGCTGATGGGTGTTGGCTTCCATGCACGGTCATGTGACTGCTCTTTGTGGGTTTGAGAAGTGGAAAGAGAAAGACGTGTGTTTATGATCTGTGGAGAAGCTTCAATTTATCTTAGCCATCCTTTTGTGTTAGGGTCAGCATTGAAGTTAGGGTTAGTGTTGGGTTAGGGTCAGCATTGAAGTTAGGGTTAGTGTTGGGTTAGGGTCAGCATTGAAGTTAGGGTTAGTGTTGGGTTAGGGGGGGTCAGCATTGAAGTTAGGGTTAGTGTTGGGTTAGGGTAAGCATTGAAGTTAGGGTTAGTGTTGAGTTAGGGTCAGCATTGAAGATAGGGGTAGTGTTGGATTAGTGTTAGGGTCAGCATTGAAGTTAGGGTTAGTGTTGGGTTAGGGTCAGCATTGAAGTTAGGGTTAGTGTTGGGTTAGGGTCAGCATTGAAGTTAGGGGTAGTGTTGAATAAGGGTTAGGGTCAGCATTGAAGTTAGGGGCAGTGTTGGATTAGTGTTAGGGTCAGCATTGAAGTTAAGGTTAGTGTTGGATTAGGGTTATGCTCAGCACTGAAGTTAGGGGTAGTGTTGGATTAGGGTTAGGGTCAGCATTGAAGTTGGGGTTATTGTTGGATAAGGGTTAGGGTCAGCATTGAAGTTGGGGTTATCGTTGGATTAGTGTTGGATTAGGGTTAGGGTAAGCATTGAAGTTAAGGTTAGTGTTGGATTAGGGTTAGGGTCAGCATTGAAAGTTAGGGCTAGTTATCACTAGCTGGGGGTCACTATTTGCTGGAGGTTTTCAGGAGGTTTTCATTACCTTGGAGAGATTTCCTCTCACTTCCTGTTGTGCCCTCAGAACAGGAAGTGAAGGGAAATCTCCCCAGAGGAACACAGATTACACAAGAAAACATCTGGCAAATGGTTCCAACCATTTCCTAATCCATCCAAAATGTAGAAAACGAGTTTTAGCTTTCGATATACTTTGAAGACCTTGGAACAGGGGGGCTCTGAGCTCAGGGTTAGGGTTAGGGGTGACCCTAACACTAGAAAAAAATAGATAACGGAAACAGAAACCCATTTTAATCCCTTTCTTTAACATTTCGTTTGTTCCCTTCCAGTATGAGCCAGCTGGCACTGAATTTAGATGGACGTCCATGTAGCGGAGGTGGATGCCAGTCACCATCGAATGACTATCAGTATACTTTCCCTGCGTCTGAACATGTGACCATCCCCAGCTGCTCCAATGACTACGAGCATACGTTGCCTGTGTCGGAATATGTGGCCCTCCCGGCCTGCTCTAATGAGTACGAGCAGCTTATTCTAAAGTATCCACAAGACAATGACAACCACGTCTCACCTTCAGAATAATGCGCGCAGTACATTTGGCCAACCATAATTCTGAAGAAAAAGCAAATTCACCATAATTAACCTGGGCAGGAAAAAAAAGGATCATTGACTACTGTGCTGACTGCCAGTGGCCACTTGTGTCCATGCATAGGCACACATCAACCGAACCTACACTATGTGGCCAAACGTTTATGGTCAACTGACCATCACATCTTCACTGTATAATCTAAAGTATGGCGACACCCCTTCAAATTCTTGAGTTCAGGTCTTTCCAGTGAAGGTTCTGCTAATACTCTATCATACAAAGACATTGTAGACAATTTTTATCTTCCAGCCTTGTGGTCACAGTTTGGTGCAGACCCTTTTCTGTTCCATCATGACTGTCCCCTGTGTACAAAGCCAGCTCCATAAAGACATGTTGTGACTGGTTTGGTGTGGAGGAACTCAAGTGTCCTGCACATAGTTTTGACCTCAACCCTACTGAACACCTTTGGGATGAATTAGAACACCACCTATGAGTCAGGTCTTCTCATCCAACATTAGTACCTGACTTCAACCCTACTGACCAGTTTGGTGTGGAGGAACATGAGTGTCCTGCACAGAGCCTTGACCCCAACCCTACTGTACACTAGACGTGTGCGATTCGTGTCGTTCCGAATCGAAATTCGGACGAATTTTCGTAAATTCGTAGATTCGTATCATCTGAATCTCCGAAATTCGAATTTCCGAATCCAAAACGATTTTACACTAAGGTGCATGTTATATACATGCGTTTCTTTTTTGTTTTGCACTTTTTACACATTGTATCACATTACTCCAAGGTCAGTATCTACTATATCTGACACTTTGCGGTCTCATTCACACAGCGCGGCTTTTACAATTAATTTCATACGTTATATCTGACCACACAGATTTCAGCTGCTGCTTAACTTGACTGGAGTAGTGGCGCGAGGTTTCACATCATTCTTACAGGGGTACAAGTACTCCTAATAACGAGATGACTCGGGGATCTATACACACACACACACACACACACACACACACGGTTGGACTTGATGGACATGTGTATTTATTCAACCTCAAATACTATGTAACTATGAGCAGAGTTCACCAGACTTCAGTCCTGGGACCAATTCTGTTTATCTTGTTTATAAACTATAAATAGCTCAATTTCAGTGTTTGCTGATGATAAGATATGTAGGGCAATAACAGGATAGTTATATTATGTAGGGCAATTAATAGGATGGATCAAGAAGAAATGAGGGGTGGCAGCTACATGCGCAGTATTGAAAAATGTAAACGTATGCACTCGGGAGCTAAAAATTATGCATGCAAAATACTCTTTAGGAGGTGCGCCTCTGGGTAAGTTGGGATGGAAAAAAAAGATTTAGGGGTCCTGGTAGAGCACAGACTCAGAAATAGTGGGCAATGCCACGCTGTAAAAAAACAAGAGCACAGAAGTGCACTGGCATTTGTAGTAGTTCGTAAAACTTTAAAGTGAAATGGTGAATAAAATGAATACGCTCACAAAAGTATTTGTTGTGTAAAAGCCAAAATGCAACTAGAGGAATGGTAGTTGGGGAAGCTGCCCAGGTATCCTCAGCATGGAGTCCCGATATCGGAAGAGGAGAGCGCAGCGTGCACTAGATTCCTCTAGTTGCATTTTAGCTTCTACAGAACAAATACTTTTATGAGTGCATTCATTTTATTCATCGTTTCACAATAATGTTTTATAACTACTTAACTATGCCAGTGCACTTCTGTGCTCTTGTTTTCTACCTCATACGACTGCATTCCCCCTGTGCTTCCACAGAGCTGCAAGGCTGGACTATTTTCGTTATATTTTTATTTTTTTTAATGTTTCTAATTGTGGCTTTTTTATTTGTGTGTTTTGTTGTTCGTTCATCTTAGCTTGGTTTTATTGCTTGGAACCGGCAAATCATTGATAAGTTCTGCAACCAAACTTGTGCACTACATAGTATCGGTAGTTGTGGTAAATGCCACGCTATAGCTAGCAAAGCCAGCAGAATACTCACTACTGCCTGTAAGGATTTTTTTTTTTACTGTCGGCAATAAAAATGGGGCTACCCCTACACTGCAAGGGTTAAGTGCTTGTTTTGTCTAAGAGGTTAAAAAACAAAACTGATATACTCATCTGATCTTCAGTCCCACTGGCTACCTCTGGGCTGCAAGACTGGCCCCCACAGCCTCTCCTTCCCTGGGCTCCAGCAGTCTAAGGACTACTGACGTCATCAAGTCTTATGCAGGTCGACTAGCTGGAGTGGAGGGTTAGTACAGTGGCTGCTGACTGCTGCGGGAGCCTGGATCAGGTGAGTAATACAGCTTTGTTTAATCTCTCAAAACAAGCACTTAACCCTTGCAGTGCAGAGGTAGCCCCACAGCAAGGGAAAGTTTGGTTTTTGTTTTTTTTTTGGGGGGGGGGGTTTTTTTACCCAGAGTTTTTTTTTAACTTTATTGATGGTGTACACTCCATTCTGGTCTCAACACTGCAGTACAGTGTGCTAAGCTATCCAGTGAGCTGCGGAAAAATGTAGCATGTCGAATAAATTCCACTGGTAATAATTATTTTAAATGTTCTTTGTGAAAAATATAAACTTTTATGTATTGACATATTTGTAATACATAGGGGAAAAACCTTACATCTGTGGAGTCTGTGGGAAGAGCTTCATTTCTTCGGGAGAACTTACTAAACATTTCCGGTCTCATACAGGTATGAGATTTACTTTGGGAAGCCTTTTTTCCCCCTAAAGGACAGCTGTACTTATACTTTCGGATACCCTCCACTCATTACCCTAAACTAAATTGCACCAACTCCTCCCTTTTTGCTGCTTACTTTTCTTAATTCCAGAGCTGTAGCCTGTTCCTGTGTTTGCACCCTTGGTGAAATAATTTTTTCCCATAGGTATAAATGGGCCATATATTGAGTCATGTGCCAAGGATGTAAATACAGGAGCAGGCTGTAGCTTAGGGAAACATGGAGGGTGGGTTACCATAGGTTTTATACATTTTAATGCTGGACAAATGACAATCATGAGATCAGCTCAATATGTATGCAGATCTCAACTTTCCTTGTCAAGCTTGACTTTGTTTTTTCCACGTCGTGAACCTCCCCATTAGTGTTTTTAATGTGCCGTTATTGACCATTGAGACTCAGGAGGTTGGAAGTGACAATGTACTGATCAATTGACACTAAAGGAAATTTCTACGTAAGCATTTTACATCATATGCCCGCTCTGAATAGCCCAGGTCTGGTTTACATTAAACAAGTAAGATTTGTCCACCTAGTTCATTGGTGTGCTTATTTTTTCTTGAGTGATTGATTTTGTTTTATAAGCCTTAGTTGGTTAATAGCAGGTCTTCAGGACTACCATAAGAAAGGTTTCAAATCCGTAATATAAAATGTTTAAATTTCAAACAAAGATAAAATACATAAATAAATGCAGCTCTGTATCCACTAATACATTATTAAAGTGTATGTATATAGCCAAAAACATTTTGGGCTTGGATGGAGTAGGTTGGGCTTCCAGACACAACATTTAGGGAGAATTACCTTCTGAAACAGTTTTTGCAGCAACAGTTTTCTCTGTTGAAAGATTTGTCCTTGCCTCTTGTTCTGGTGACAATTGTAACATTTTGGAATTACCATGACTTACTGTCTTTCTGATAATAATCATCAGAGGGTGAATTTTCCCAGCTGTGACGTAGCAGCAAATTTTGGCAAGGCTTCTAACCCTTTCCCACTCCATTCAAATTTTAAAATAAAAAGTTTTGACTTCACACACACTCTAAATTTATTTTTTTAAATGCAAGCAGTGTAAGTACTTGAATTTAAATTGGTTTTTAGCCTCTTGCAGTCCATGTATAGGCGAACAGAGTGGGAGAGGGAGAAGCAAATATGGTGGCTGCTTTGATCTGTTTGGAACTCTTTCTTTTTTAGGAGTAGGAGCAGCAACACAGGAAGCTAATATGTTCCTGTTCAAACAATGAGCATGCAGATAGGAGGAGAAAGCAGAATGACAGAGACAAGCCTATCTCTGTGCTGCTTCTCCTTCAGTGTCAAGTCACAGGCTGGGGGCAGGTCCATGACAGTCTGGGCTCAGAGGAAGTAGGTTGAATGATGTTGGTTGTCTTTCAAACCAGAAGAATGAGGACATTAAGTGGTAGAAAAAATCCAACCTACCCTGTCTTACACAATGGTGGAAATACCTTTAGTGGGGACGCAGAAGGGTCATACAGTACATGACCCTTCTGCTGTACTGATGCAAATCCTTTACATGCTAGCTTGGGGTTGGTGCTTCCATTGAAGAAAATAGTGTTCTTGATACCTGAAAGATAAATGCACAGGAATCTTACACTTCTTGGTGGCTACAAAACTGGTGTGAGACCAGGGCCTGTTTGGCAAATTTGCCTAAACATCATCCACAAAGCATGGAAATGTTGTCAGTGTTGTTTAAAGTAGTATTAAAGGCTTGGCATTTTTACTTTAATGCATTCTCTGCATTAAAGTAAAAATGGCCAGTACCTTTTTCACTCCCCTATTTACCCCCACACCCAACGCCGCGGGTCCCCCGAAGCGATCCTCCAGCCCAAACTTCCTGGTAGCGGGGGAGGATACTGAGGGCAGAGGAGCCATAGTCTCCTTCTGCCATCAGTCAAACTGTTGGGCAGAGAGGAGGGGCGTGGCCTGCCGCAGGACTGTGCTATGGATGCACACCGCTACTGCGGGTTCAGCCAGGAACACGCACGGGTGCCTCCACAGCCGACGCTTGCCTGCTGGCAGCACCCGTGCAAGGGGCGGGGTAAGAGGATGCGGGGTCCCACTAGAAAATGAGGAATTGTGAAATTAAAAACAAAACAAAGATTTGTGCAAAAGACTGCCTACCAGTGATAAAAACAAAACAAAAACTAAAGCTTTAATATCACTTTAAACTTAAACCTAGCTACACATGCATAATTCTAATTCATCAATTTATTTGTTACATGGCTATAATTTCAGGAGAAAGGCCATTTGTCTGTGAAGTTTGTGGGAATTCTTACACAGATGTGAAAAACTTGAAGAAACATAAGATGAAAGCACACAGTGGTAAGTTAACTTACTTTGTGATGTCGTATCTGCCATCAGTGAAGCAGCCCCCATTTTGTATCCCTATTGTGTCCCTGGATAGAAAAAACACATTTGCTCAGCTGCGTTTGGGATGCCAATACCTAGTAATGGCAATGCAAATGCATTTCGCGCTTGTACATGTATCGTGAATGCACGTTGAATGCATATTTGACGTGCGATCATACTTGATTCGCTCATTCATCCCAGCATTGAGGTGCGCTGAGAAAGGTACCCTGAGCTGCACATGCATAGTTCATTGTTTCTTTTCAGGAAAGATTTTGGAGCAGGTTAGTAAGTTTGATTTATTGCAGAAGACATAGCATGTCTACATGCTCTATTCTACAGTAAGGAGCCTGCCTTCTCAGTGTTTTTTTATTTTTTTACTTTTAGTTCCACTTTAACACAGGGATCAGTTCAGCTCATTAACAAATATGTATCTGGACATTTCATGTGCATGAAAGTATACCTCTAGTACAGCAATCAAGGGTTTTTGTACAAAGCAAATGTACTTCACTTCATACATGTCTCTGTGGTTTGTGCATGGAAACCACCTGATGACTCGCACTTTCATGCATTAAGTGGAATTTCCTTAAGTGATTGCACAGGAGTGAATTAATGAAACGCTTTTATAAATGCGGTTACAGAAAACTAGGGGGCTTATGAAAGTACAATCATCTCACTAGCATTTCATTTCACTAGTATTCCTCTTGTTATACTGTGTTTGCGTTTTGCAGGAAATGAAGAAGACGATGAATCGGAAGCTGTTGATGGTACAGTCAGCAACGAGGACTCAGCCAAGAAAAGTCCAGTGCCAGACACTCTTGACCTGACGCAGTCTGAGCTGTTCTTACCACTCACACTACACATTGGTCCGGAAGACAATCAGATGCTGCTGCCTGTGGCAGATAATCGGAGTCTTTCCTCTGAGCCTTTGTTAAGGACATCTGTGACTAACTATACTGAGCCACAGTTTATATTTTTACAGTAAATGTACTGAGAAATTGCATTGAAATATTAGTCGTTTCAACATAGTGACTACCATAGAAGTAAGGCTTAGCAGGGGTTTTGTAGCTGCTGTGATCACTAACCGTAAAACAAATTATTCCTGTGAGATGTGCTTTCTAGGAACTCAGTTTCAAAGAGAAGTCTAGTTCTAAAGTCAGATGATTATTGTTTTTAGATCCAATTGTTTGGAATTAAAAAATCCTGTACCATAGTTTTTGGGGTCTGTAGCACTATAGTGCACTGTCTTAGAAAAAAATAGTGCAGGTCTTATTTGTCGATTTGTGGTGCGATCGTAGCCTATATGAATGAATGAAAACACAACAGACACTCTAGGTGTGAATGGGCCACTTTCTGTTCTTTCAGTTTGTATAAATTAGACCCTTAACTGGTTTGCTGGTGTTAGGGCCTGTTCACACGACGTCCGTTTTCTGTGCTGACCTGATCCGTACGCTCCTGCACTAAAAATGCATCCCAATGTATCCCTATATGTTTTATGGGCTACAGTTCTCACGTGCGCAGTCCGTTCAGGTTACGACAGAAAAATACTGTATGTCACATTTTGTATGGTCTGAAAACGCGTCAAAAACGCACTGCACTGCAGCTAACATACTGACAGCCCCACTCCAGCACTTTTTACTGGAACGCATCAAAAACATGGCAAAACACATAGCACCGTGTCTGCTGATCAGGACCTGAAACCCATGTGAACAGGCCCTTAAAGTCTGGCTATAGCCAAAACATTTTTTTTTTGGATAGGGTGGGGCAGGATTAGAATTGTCAGGTTTTAATACAGTCAGAGGCTTCATTGGATGGATTCATTCACTTCCTGCCTGGTAAAAAGGTTGTCCCCAAAACAGAAAGTTATGGGAATCTCTCGAACGGAGCCCCAGATAGCAGTAAAATCCAACAGGGATACTAAACTTTCCCCACTCTACCCAAAAACTTTTTTTTTAAACATTTTGGGCTCTAAATACACTTTTTAGTATTTGGAATTAGCTTCTTCATGTTTTCCATTGTATACATAAATGTTTTTCTTCTGCTCATCTTATGAGGAGCTGACTTGACATGAAAAATGCAGCAATAAAAGTTGAGCAAAAGTAGAGCCATTGCCCATAGCAGCTAGTTACATTCTTTGTTATATTTTCTAACAAGTAAGATATATGTCTGCTATGAGAAGATGCTTCACTTTTTTTGCTTGCTTTCTCTGCTTTGGTTAAAGAAATCGTATACTTAGTAGCAAGGATATAGCTGTCCTGTGACAGTCTAATTACAGCACACAGTATATGTCTGTCATGAATGTATTATGCTAGTGATATCTGTGCTTCTTGATTGCATCCTGATGCATGTGTTCTTATGCTATTCCCCTTTCTCTTGTCTGGTCTATGTCTGAAGTGTCCTGTTTTCGCTAACCTCATTTACCATTCAGCCATTGTTTTAGAAGCCCTGTAAGGGGGTTATTCAGTTGAGCTGTTGCAAATAATTATAATTTCTGACAATCTGGATACCTAAGACATTTGTTGTGGGACTCAATTTTAGGTCCCAGACCCAATGGGAGTAGACCTAGAGTCTTTAGTTTGAATTTATCTGGCTATGTACCACCAGCAATGGGTCTGGGAGTAAAAGCTCTGCATCAGCAGGTAATACAATTTGTCTTTTATTAGGAATGTGGTCTAGAGGACACAGTGAAAATATACAGTTATCGGGGATTCATTTGCACAATTGTCTGTATGAGTGTGGTCTAAAAGGTATAACATGGTGCTATAAAGTTCTGTATGTGAACAGCGAATAGGTAGGTTTACTTCATGTACAAAGTTCTTGTACTAGGTATCATGTGCTTTGTTCTGCTGTCATTTCACAATGATATACACCATGACCTAATAGTACATTGATTTATTTCAATTATACTAATAGTAGCCCAACACTTTTTCTACTAATGTAAGTTATCATAGTTTACTTTTTAAATATAAGGTGCCTTAAATAATTTATTTCAGGTAGGAGAAGAATGCTGTGTATGTCTATTTATAAATGTTACTGGAAGTGCACTTTTAAAAGGAAATAGCATACTATTACCTTGTCTGCAGCTATAGTGCATCTGTCAAACATTCACAGTGCAGGTGGCCAGTATTAGTTATCTAGAAACCAGTGACATCATTGTGACAGTGGCAGGGATGCCACATTGATGTCAAAATACTCTAAAATACTGGTCCAGTGTTCTCTACATGTAGGTTAAAGCTACACGTGAAGTTTTTCCATTTAGAATTTTGTGCAATACACTGTGTGTGTTTCAGAGTTGTACATTTTACAGTAGAATTTTGTAAAACAGCAGATTTCTTGTTGGGGATTTAGAACTGAACTCTGGGCAAAATGCAAAGTAAAAAAAAAGACAATTTTAGGAAGCTGCTTTGGCTTGTTAACTTGCCTGAGATAAATGGTATCATGTATGACACTGATTATTATAACACTAATGCAGTTTTGACCCTAGCTAGAACAAATTGTTTATTTCAAGGATAAGTGCACAAGTTCATTTATCCAACCTGCCTTAAGTATCTAACCCTCCCTTACACCAGATGCATAGTTCCCTGAATCTGACAGCAGCTGCCTACCATAATGTTTACATCCTACAGCTGAAAAATCTGGCTTGCCATAAGCAGTATTCTGGTTCTGAATTTTGCACACCCTCTATCCAGTTTTGTGAGGCTCAGGCTCACGCCTCTAGTGAGGCACCAGTAGCTCTGTACTGCCCCTAACTTAAAGGACACCAAAGGGGCATACCGCTCACCTAAACCTCAGTTCAGCATAGGAGTATGGAACTCCAAAAGATGACGTGGAAGATGACTCGGACACACAGGTAAGGGGTATTATTGTTACTGCTATATTGTATGGTTGTTTTAGCATATAGTTATGTTTTTATGTATATTCACTTTCTTGTTCCTCACATACAGGAGGATTACTTGGACATTGTGGGGAAAAATTTAACGTACATGCAAAATAGACTGGATGATCTGGACCAATCTGAGGTTTCTCCTGTCCTTTGAGATCCTTTGCCTGGAAAAAAGCATCCTGGACAGAACCCACCTTCAAGTGAGAATGAGAGGAGTGTTATGAGTTGATAGCTGTAGCATTGCTCATCATCACTGGCAGACTCATTAAGCCTGATAATAGAGATCTTATAGCAGAATTTCTAAACACCTGCTATACAGTGCTGTTGACCTCTATAACAGCAGTTATAACTAATAAGCTTGGATCTTCAATTGTTGCTCCAGCCATCAAAACCTGCCTGGAGCAGAGTCTGAACATGATGATGGCCACTCTTGAAAAACAGCAGCACAATTAGTAGTAGCTATCACCCTGATGGACTACAAGCTAAGATGATTTCCAGAAAACCTTGGTCATTTGCTGCGGGGCTGTGGCCCAATATCACTTCTGGCCATATGCACCAATTCACATTGACCAAGCTGAATTCCTTGGATTCAAACTGGCGGACTGGGTGAAATACACCTTTTGAACTCTTTGAGAAGAACAAAGGGTACCTGGAAACTCTATGATGTACCAGCAGATCTCTGGAAGGTGATACTAAGACCCATGCTACAGAAAAGCACCACCTCTTGTATAACCACCCGTGCCCTGGCTGACACTGGGTCCATGGGACCAATACTTGTCCTACCTTAAAGGACGCTAGCAGGGCTCTCAGCTCCCCCATACCTCTTTTCAGGCTGGGAGTACAGAACTCCAAAACAAAGAGACAAACACTCATGCTCTGGCCGGATCTACTGAATTCTAAAAGGCAGACATCAACACTCATGCTGAAGCTGGGGCAGTGGGTGATGCTGAGACCACCATTATTACTTCTAATGAAGATGATCTCAGAAACACTGGTAATAGGAATTAATGTTATGGTTATATTTTATGCTTGTTTTAGTATAGTGTTCTTATGCTTTTTTTTTTGTTTTTTATATTGTTGCTCACTTTGTTTCTCACACACAGGAAGATTACTTGGACACTGCAAAAAAAAATTTAAAGAGTGTAAATGAGCGTGTAAAATAAATTGGATGCTTTTAACTAATCTGACCTACCTGCTGGCAGACCCATTGAGCCCAATACTGGAGTATTTGAGCAGAATGCATTAAGACCTGCTCTACAGCCCTGCTGACCACTATGCCAGAGGTCATAACTAAAAAGCTTGGATCTTCACTTAATGCTCTGTCAACGCCTGCCTGGAGCAATGTCTGAACATGATTGTGGCCACTCCTGTGGGAAAAAGTTGCACAATTAGTTGTAGCCATCACCCTGATGGAACAGAATCTAAACCAATTTTCAGAAGACCTCAAAGCCATTTGCTGCATGGCTGTGGCCCAATACCATATCTGACCAGATGGTCAAATTCACTTTGGCCAAGATGATTTCTCTGGATTCAAGCTGGAGGACTGGGTGAAATGCACCTTTTGAAACCTTTCTGAGAAGAACAAAAGGGTACCTAGAGACACTGTAAGGTGCCAGCAGATCTCTGGAAGCTGATGCCATGACCCATGCTTCAGTTGAAGCTGGGTCCATGGGTGATGATGGGAGCAGCAACCCTCCCTTAAATTACACCAGCGCGGCCCACATCAGCTCAGACTGGGAGTATAGAAATTCAAAACAAAGAGACCAATACTAATGCTGTGACTAGATCTACCAAATTAAAAAGGAAGACAACAACACCCATGTTTAGGCTGGGTTACTGGGCGGTGCTGAGAATAGCACCTCTTCATCTGAGAGGGATGACTAAAAAATGCTGGTAAGAGGAAATAATGTTACTGTTCTAGTTTTATACTTGTTTGTATTGTCCTTTATCCTTATTTTGCTTCTCACATACAGGAAGATTGTTTGTACACTGCAAATAAAACTGAAGAGTGCAAAAACTGCATGATTCAAACCTATCTGAAGTTCATGATGTCCCTTGCCTGGCAGTGAGCATTCTGCATACAGCACTTCTTTAAGTGACAAAGAGAGATTGCTATGAGTTGATGGCCGCAGCATTGCTGATTATCATTGGCTGACTCATTGAGCCAAGAAATAGAGTCCTTATAGCAGCCCTGCTGACCACTATGACAATGGTCTTAACTGAGAATCCTGGATAACCTCAATATGTCCCAACTGTCAACTCCTACCTGGGGCAATGTCTGAACATGCAGATGAATGCCCTTGTCAGGGTTATAGCAGCCCTGCTGACCACTATGACACTGATCTTAACTGAGAATCCTGGATTATCTCAATATGCCCCAACTGTCAACTCCTACCTGGGGCAATGTCTGAACATGCAGATGAATGCCCTTGTCAGGGTACCATGTGCGGGTGTCCCACACCACATGCAGGTACCCACACGGGAGGACCAAATACGTGGCCACACCAGAAACTGCCACTGAGCTTATATACGCATATTATACACACTAAAACATAATAAAAATAACCCCACCAACAAGTAATAGTTTCAGCACCTGGGCTTAATTACGGACCTCTATGATTACGCCCATGGTAGTGTGTACCTTGTATGGAATTTACAACAATAACGTTTGGATTTTTATGGACCTTGGCTTTGTGCGGCTGATTGGAGAGATATTGTTTGATAAGTGGGAGCACACTGCAGCCTGCACCCGATGTGTATATTGATCTGCAGTCTGGTGGAATTGGAGCAGTGAATTTTTTGGATACTACACATTTAAAACGCACACACACACACACACACACCAGTATCCCCTTACTGCAGCTACCTCGTCTGCTGCCTGCCTTGAGCCCAGTATCTGTGACACTGCCTGGAAAGAAGATGAGGTCAGCTCCTTCACAGCTTGTCAGTTGTATACTGTACGCTGTAGCCGGCCAGTGGTGGAGGTAGATCTAGGGGAAACTGAATGTGAACTGGCAGGACATGCCCTGGCTGCTGTGGATCTACTGCATATGTGTAGCCAGGTAAGGTAGCAACAGGACGAACTCCCCTCCTTGTCCTGACTGGGCCCAGCAGCGTTAATGTGGTTGTTATTGTGGTAGTTCCGACCCTGAATGGATCTAATAAGTTCGAGAATAAAACCTGCATGGTGCCCAGGGCTGATCATATGACCCTTACTGCATGTAACCCCTCCATGTGCAATTATATTCAGACCGCTGCGGAGCCTGTGATCAGCTGGGGCCACTCAGTCTGTACAAATCAATGACAAACACCTGTGGAGCTTGCCAGAAATGTATGCTTGTTCTTGACGGTGTAGGGTCCAAAGATGCCATGTGAATGAGTCCTGAAAGAGGCAGTTTAATTACATCTAAAACTTTTCCAAGCAGTTGCAGCCTTTCAGTATTATGATTAGTTCTAACCCAAATTCAGGTAATTATGAATCTGGAGTGGGGAGAGTTGGATACTTCAAGTCAGTAGGACCAAGCAGGCTGAATACATGTACTTTATTTGAAATGCACTTGTCCTGTAAAGGTCTGTGTTTAGAGTGCTGTGCTGTGTTTAGAGTTATCTTAGCTTAGAAAGCCCAGCAAAGAACAGTACACATATAAAATATATGTAAAGTTTCTATACAGCTAAGATTATGATATAACATTCAGGTAAAAGGAAATCACAGATTAATACGTGTGTTTAAATAACCTAAAACTGATATATAGTTAAATACACATCAGGGACTCTTGTATCTTTGGGGTTGATTTTACTAAAGTAGTAGAGAATCTTTTGCCATAAAGGTTCATGGGCATGGGGATTTAAAAAAAATGTATGTATGACATGCATATGATTAGATGATTGCAGTGAATACAGCTTTACTAAGTAACGGTTTTCTACTCCTTTTAGGAAGTCTACAGACGTAATTCAACTCTGACTGTGCCATCTAAATTTGACCCGTGTGACCTCTTTTATTTGGCAAAATGCAATGTTCCAAGTTACTGATGTGTGAGAATTTACAGATAGAAGTGTGATATATACTGTATTTAGTAATTGCAAAAATCTCTTGGCAAGCAATGGGTGGACCTCTAAACAGCCATAATCTGTGACATGATAGGCTCAGGCTTGCCCTTCCACCTTTTGGAAGAAGCAATACAAGCAAGTATAGGGAATGTTAAAGTATGTGTAAGGCCTATCAATAAACTTCTCTTATTTGCTCTCTTAAGATCTGTTTAAGCGACTCTGTTACTATACAAAAAATTACCTCCCCCCCCCCCCCCCTCCCTCTGCGCACACTCGCT